AGGCACAGACCTGAGAGGCCGCCTGGCTGTCATGGGATACGTTGGCCTTTAGGTGGCAGGATAAAGCAGGTTTTGGGGACTGCACTGCTTGTTCTCCAGACTCACCTTCTTGTCCCACTTGCCTGGCCTGTGTCCCCAGCCCTCGCCCCCTCCAGAGGGACAGGAACCTCCTCACAGCGGGAAGATGGACAGGCTTCATTCTGGCTCCTCCTGTCCCCGGGAGGCTGGCCTCGTGTCCAGTGCCATTCCTCGTCTGCACAGAGGAGGTGCCAGGAGGGGCCGGGCTCCGGGGAGCTGCGAGGAGACGTGCGGATTCATTTTGAGGCCTCATAAGGCAGCATCTGCATGCTGTCCTGCCGGCAGAAATCGGGCTGGCAGATGCCTGGTCATGCCGGCGGCCGCGGGTTAACACCTCAGATTCAGCTTATGTCGTTTGAGAAGGGCTGACAGCCTTCCCTGTGTTGGTCCCTGGTCGGTCTTTGGCCCTGAAGCATCCTGGACCGTTGGGGGCATGTGGGAGCTGGGGGCCGCGGGTGTGTGTAGATTTTCAAATGCGCCAGCCCTCTCTGCAGAGCCACGCGTTAAATATTTATCGGCAGCAATTTGTGCGTCTGTAGTTGATAAACGGACACTAGGAGGGGGCTGGGGGTGGGCAGGCGAGGAGAGGGCCAGGGAGACCCCGAGGAAGCTTGGTCCTTTTGTCCTGCGTCTCTGGGGGGAGCAGGCCTCAGGGTTGGCGTGTCACCTGTGTGATCCCTGCGACAGGAGGGCCGTGTTCTCAGCAGATCGCTGCCTGGCTTTGGCTCACAGATATCAAAGGACAGCTCAGGGGAGGGGACGTGGTGTGGAGGAAGGAGCTTTGTGTCGATCCAGCGCAAGCTCTGAAGGCACCTCCTAGGTGCCAGTCCTGGGAGCCGCTGCTCCTGCTCACCTGCTCAGCCTGGGGCTCCCGTGCAGCCAGCTGGACCTGGACGTGGACCAGGCCCCACACCCAGGACCCGGGGCCTCTCTGGCCTGGCTACCCGAGCACAAGCCTGGGTCCCCCCAGGACTGGCTTCCCCGTCAGGAAGGGGAGGACGGGGCGCCCCAGCCGGCAGCTTCTTGGAGTGGAGCTGAAAATTACCTCCCCGTGTGAGCCACCCTGGGCCTGATGGGTGTGCCGCGTTTGCCTGGGCGCACGTGTGACCGTCCTCCAGCCACCCCGCCCTCTGCAGGCCCCTGTGCTCAGATCCCATCTGCTTCTGTCCACAGCACCTTTGGAGAGCTGAAGACGGTCCGCTTGCCCAAGAAGATGACCGGGACAGGCACGCACAGGGGCTTCGGCTTCGTGGACTTCCTCACAAAGCAGGATGCCAAGGTGAGACCCTGGGGAAGGCTCGAGGCCTCTTCAGTGCAGCGCACGCCACTCCCGAGCTTGTGTCCCTTTTCCTGACCGTGCTAATTCATGCTGCACTTCGGGAGGGAACGCTCTGGGTTTGCGTCTGTGACATGGGACAGGGCTGCTCCCTTGAACCCATACAGGAGCCTGGGCTGCGCATTTCCCAGGCCTCTGCACACCAGAGAGGGCTCTGCCATCTAGTTGTCCCCAAGACGGGCAATGTGCTGTGTGGAAAGGTGCTCAGAGAGAAGAGCAGAAGGTGCCAGGGGCAGCCCGTGGGGACACGTCTCCCCGTCAAGTTCACGCCCCAGCCAGACTGTGGCTGGTGCTAGTTGTGCGTGGGAGGCAGCCCCGGTGGGCCCACATGCACACTGTGCGCGTCACTGTGGCCGTCCCGCCAGTCTTGGTTGGCTGGTCAGAGGTTTGTGGTGCCGAGGACTCGACCCAGGGCCTCGCGTGGGCCAGCAGGGCTCTGCCGCTGAGCCCAGCCCTGGCCTTCTGAAGTGGGGCCTCTGCTCCGAATTTAGGTACAACAAGTTGGCCCTGCTGTGGGTGCCGGGTTCTCACCTGCCACCAGCAGGCATCCCCGCTGTGTCCTTGATCACTGCACCCTCCGCCCCGAGCTCCAGAAGAAAGGTGCCTGCAGGGCCATGGCCATGGACTTCCCTCTGGGAGCTCTGGCCTCAGACCCCTCGAGGTGAAGGGAAGCCGCAGGGAGGCTGTGCTGGTGGCCCTGTGCCCTCCGCCCTGGCGGGGAGTCTTTCAAGAAAGCAGGGACTTCTTGAATGCACCGCGGCGTCACAAGGGTCCCAGTGAGGGGTCAGCTGGCATGGAGCCCAAGGTGCAGCTCCGGATCAGCCCCTGTAGGCCCTGGGAACACCCCGGAGGGTCCTGCCAGCCTTTGTCCCCAGGTCTTGCACCAGGTGCCTTGGCTGTGACCATGCTCGTCTGGACGTATGCTCCTCCCTCCTGGGCTGGCGGTCTTTCCATGCCTCCCATCAGGGTCTGAGGTGCAGCCCTGCAGGCAGCAGGCCAGGGACAGCACGGGAGGCCGCAGAGGGCAGTTGTGCGGCCCGGCGGGATCACCGATGGCCGCACCCACCCTGCCTGAGGGCTGTGGGTGGGTTTCCTCCGTGGAGCCCAGCACTGGGCATAGGTGTGGCTCTACCGGCTGCTGGTACCAGGCGATTGGGCCTGGGAAACACCCCAGCAGGCTGTGGCCGGCACGGGAGGTTGACACACAAACCAGGAGGCCAGACTGCCAGTCAGTATCCCAGTGCTACGTCGCCGTCATGTGAACGTGGGCCAGCGGCCGGCTTTGCGCCTCCTTCCCCTGTGGCGTGGTGGCAGTTCCTTGCAGAGTGGCCTGGGGCCTGGGTGCCGGGTGTTCCAGGAACAGGCCAGCCCAGCCTCCTGTTGGCCATGAGGGTGATGCAGGGGTGGCTACAACAGGATGACCCAGGGAGAGGCGTGGGGAAGGGCAGGGAGCAAGACGCCCCCTTCTAGCCTGAGCTGGGGTCACCGTGACACGGCACTCGGGTCTGAAGGTGGCGGCTGCTCCCCACCATCCCTTCCCTGCCTCCATTCCTGGTTCCTGGAAGAAGGAGGTTGGCCTCCTGGCCCTTGGGGATGCCTTGTCCCACCCTCTCCTCCGCCAGTAGCTGCTTCTGACCTCCATGGGCCTGTAGCCCTTCCCTCCCTGCGCTGGCACAGGCCCTCACCGTCCCTACAGCTAATGAGCCACTTCCAGAAAGTGCCAGCCACAGGTCTTAAGAGACAGCCCCTCTGTCTGCCTCGTGGGGACAGCCACCTCACTCCTCCGTCCTCCCGGCCTGTCTGCAGCCCAGGCAGACACCCCACCCCGACCCAGGGACAGTGCTCTATAGTGGGCGAGTGACTCCTGCTCTGGATGCTCCGAACATCAGGCCAGCTCACGGGCATGGGCCTGAGGAAGGGCCCTCGGAGCCAGGTATCCTGTCACCTCCCGAGAGCAGCCTCCTGGCCCTGCCCGGGCCACACTGTCTGAGCTACCACCCAGCAGAAGCCCTGGGGCCAGTCCTGCTGCAGAAGCCCTGCCAGTGTGCAGGCCCTGACTGCATGCCCTCTGCAGCTTGCACGGCTTGGGTGCCCTTCGTGAGGGGCAGCAGGTGGTCACTGGGCATCTGCCACTTCTTATGTCAAGAGGCTGGTCCCAAGCGATCCTCAGACAGGGGGAGAGGATCAGAGAAGAGGGAAGGGAAGGACAAGCCAGGCCTTTCTTTCTTCCTCCATTACAGGCTCAGGGGACAGGGGCTTCTAAGAGGAATCCCAGTGGCCATTAGTGACCACTCAGCCAATGGGGACCTGGCTGGGAGCCCCAGTACAAGTGGGCACGTGGGCTGGAGCCGAGGCCATGGAGCTCTCAGGCTTGTCGGGGACCAGGGGTCAGCTCCAGGTCAGGGCTCCCATAGCAGCTGCCCGTCCACTCACCTGCCCCAGGCAAGTCCCACGGCGTCCCTTCCCCTCCACATCAGTCTCCACAGTGGCCCTGAGCAGGGGCTGCCTTTGTCATCCTTAAACAAGGAAAGGACTCTGGGTCCTCTGTCCCTTCTCCAGAGACCCAGTCCCACTTCATACACGAGGCGACTCAGATCTGTTGGCCCCTCCCCCATCAGGCATGCCCCAGACTGGACAGAACCCTGGGGAGGGGCCCCCTGAAGGCTGCAGGGGCAGAGCTCAGAGCACCCAGGCAGCTGGGAAAGACGGGGACAGACAGGCACTTGTGGGTGCCACCTCGGCACGAGACATGGCCCCTCACGCAGGGCACCTGGGACCCCAGGGGCGTCTCTCAGCAGCTCCCTCCTCCCCTGGGTCCTGCCCCGACTCCTGGGAGCTCGAGCCAAGCTCAGCCGCCCCGTGGAGCCTAGGGGCCGATGGGCAGCCCAGCCCCAGCCCACTGCTTGATCCCCTGCCACGGGCAGGCCCGGGCCATCCACCCTTGTCACAGGCTTGGTGACCAGAGCCCTTCCCGCAGGAAGCGGATGGCGAGCTGGCAGATCCTCCCAGCCTAGGATATCTTAGGAGCCCTGATGTCCCCAGGGGTGAATGCCAGTCCCCCGACAACACTGGTGTCAGCTAGACCTCCAGGTGTGAAGACCCAGCGTTTTTAAAGATCCTCCCCACGTCATGCCAGGGAGCAGGACACGGGGGCTGAGGGGCCGAGGGGGCATCACAGGATGCCCAGGACCCACCCGGACCTGAATGCAGGGGCCTCCCCAGGTCCTGGGCCACTGCTGCCCCCAGGCACGGGGAGGTCTCTGATGGAAAACACTGGCAGGCTTCCAGAGTCCTACATTTAGCAGGATAGGCTGGATATCACAAGCGTTTTAATCCTAGCAGGACTCGGGACGGGGCAGGAGGCCTCTGCGCCTGGAGACGCGAAGGCCCCGAGGCCTGCGTCCTGCTCACAGGCCCACAGCCAGGGCTCGCCAGCTGGGCACAATGGTCCCTCCCGCCTCGTATGTGGGGTCCCCTAACCCAGTGCCACCTCTTAGGGACACCTTGACAGAGAACAGAGGCTATCCCTGGGAGCATCTCTAAGAACAGCCTCTCCAGCCCCCAGAGAAGGGGTGGCATTCCTCATGCCTCCCTGCAGAGGCTCAACCTCCCTGCCTCCCCCTGGCCAAGCCTGAGGCCAGCCCAGGAACCAACCCACATGTACTAGGGCTCCCAGCCAGGTCCCCATTGGCTGAGTGGCCACCAGTGGCCACTGGGATTCCTCTTAGAAGCCCCCGTCCCCCAAGCGGTCATGGAGGAAGGAAGAAAGGGCCACGGGGAGGGCAGCCTGGGGAAGAGCGAGCTGCTCGCGGTTCCTCCTCCTCCCCGGCCGCGCCTTTGTACTTCTGCGGCTGCAGCTGTTTTTATTTGCCGCCGCTGCTGTTGTTTTAAAAGGTCTATTTTCACATGGAATGTTATCCAATTAGCAGAGCAATGTGTCGGCTTAAATAAACACGCGGGGGAGCCGAGCGCCATGGCGGCGGGCGCTGGCAGCCGCCTCTTCTCACTGTGGAAGACAGCGCGGCCGACTGTGGGGTCCTCCAGCTGGCGGCTCCCGCACTCTCACCGTCCCCCCCCCCAGCCAAGGGTGGGCACCGAGGGAGCCACAGGGGGCAGGCGTGGTGCCTGCCCCCGTCCGAGGGAGCTTGGAGCAGGCTTCTCCCAGCCCTGGTCACCTTGGAGTCCACTGTGGGAGGGAGATGGTTTGGGAGCCACAGGCTGGGGCCGGGCCTGTGGGTATCTGTCTCAGAAGCGCACTCTGCCACATGGTGTCATTTCTCAGAAGGGCCCATAGTCACTCTTTGTTGTGCACAGACCCCACAAACCGGGTGATATTTCTCCCTCCACGCAGCCCAGGAGCAGTTGGCAGGGTTTCAGGGTTGCTGAGAGGTGGCTCTCAGGACCTGGCGTGTGGGACACAGGGAATGGGTCTGTCCCGGAGCACCTACCATACTCACTGTGGGGGGCGACATTAGAACATCCCCCAGAAGTCGGTGGCCCTGGGCTGATCCTTAGCCAGCTCAGGGGCAGGTCACTGCTGGCTGGAGGCACGTTGGAGTGGCCTATGTTCCCTCAGGCTCTGCCAGGACAGCTCCCCAGGGAGCCGGAGGGGCCTGGAGGGCACCCTGGGCATCAGGACAGGATCCATGTTCGGCTCTGCCCAGGAGCCAGGCAGCCCTCGCAGACCTGTGGGACTGAAGTCCTGCTAAGGGCGTGCAGTAGGCTTTTGTTGCTGGGAGGAGGAGAGTGTCCCCAGGGAGGCTGTGGGAAGGTCAGGCCCGCAGCGCTGGCAGCTTCCGGGGCCTCCTGCTCTTCAAGGTGGCCGTAGTCCATCTGCACCGTCACCCCACACCACTGACGTCGTGGGGTTTGGACAAGGTGGCGGGAGACTTGGTTCCCCAGACCTGTGGGCCGTGCCCCACTCAGAGGACAGCCAAGGCCAGGATTTCTGGGCAGCTGTGGTCAGTGTGCCCAGGGGCTGCCGTTTTCCCAGGGCTCAAGTTGCTGCCTAGAGAGGAGCCCCACCTGCCCTCCAGGAGCTCAGGCGCCCAGGGAGTCAGGGTCCAGGATCAAGGTCAGAGCACACAAGCACGCACATGGCTGTAGTTCAAAGGCAGACAGGTGTGTGGGCCCAGTAGGGCTGAGGGACTCACCAGGGACCAGTGACAGTGGAGAACTGTCACCTCACTTAGGCAAAGGACGCTTGGAAGAAAGGTGAGGGCCGAGAGGGAAGGAGTGCCCACCTCGTCCCACCTCTGAGCTGGGCCCCCATCACTTCACCTGAGCAGAAACCCGCGTGTATGAGCCCTGCCGTGGGGCCCAGGAGTCACCTCCTATGGGGGTGAGGGTAGTTGGGAATGGCCAGCATCCGCTGTCAGAAAACCACAGAAAGGGGCTCCCAGGGACAGGGTGGCCCCCCGTGGCCTTCTCTTTGCCGACAACTACAGACTCAGAGCTCCATCCTGGACCTTAGTCTTGCCCAGCAAACCAGCAGGGGCTCGGTCTCTCAATCCTGCAGCATGGGTCACAGTCCCTGTCCACAGTCGCACACGTTGGGTGCAGTGCCAGACCAGGGCTATGTGTCCAGTCAGGGTCCCAGACTCGCTCCCCAGTCCTGACGTGCTCCTGGCCTGTCCCATCTTGGCGGGCTGAGAGGCGAGGCTGCAAGGGAGCCAGCAAGAGACCCTCAGTGAGGAGAAGCCACGGTCCCTCTGGGTATTTATTTTCTGCGCACAGTGCACCACTGAGGTGGCAGGGACACAGCACCTACCCTGCAGGGGTGAAGGCCAGGCCTGGGAGCAGCTGCCGGGAGGAGGCCAGGTGTGCTGGGCGCTGGGCGGGCTTCTGCTACAGCCTGTGAGAGAAGGGTGGGGCCTTCCTGGTCCGCGGCAGGCGGCAGGTGTGTGCGTGGGGGCGGCTTCCAGGGCTTGAGCCAGGGGTGGGATGTGGAGCCACTGAAACCCAAGGAAGGAGGAAGCCAGCCTGTGTGGGCCCTGCGTGGGCCCGGCCCCTTCGTCCCTCCTTCACTGCGACGGAAGGACAGAGTCCTCTCTGAGCTGGGGCCGAGTGCTCGCAGTTCCTCAAAGCCAGGAGATGGTGACACCAGGAGAGCGTCAGCCCAGGGCGGGAGGCAGCCCAAGGGGTCCTCAGTGGGGCTGAGCCACAGGAGCCCCGAGCCCTGCAAGGGACCAAGGCTGCTGGGCACAGGCCACCCTCAGCTGACCCTAGGAAGGTAGGGACGGGGCCGTGGCCCAGTGGGCTCAGCCTAGGAGGAAGCAGCTGGCAGACCTGGCCTGTCACAGGGGACCTGCACTCCCTGGCCCTGCCTGGCACCTTCCTGTGCCTCGGTGTCCCCTGGAGCCTAGGCTGTCTTCTTCCTCCGTGCCCCCCCCCACCCCTGCAAGCTGCCACCCAACACGTTCTCATTATGCTTCTTCAATGAAGCCCAGTCACTCTGGATTATCCAAGGCCAGATTTAGCCTGGAATCAGTGTCCTCCCCGCTGCCTGCAACATTTTGAGGCCACCAGATTCCAGCCACCAAGGCCGTGGGCACCCAGGAATGCAGCCTTACTTCCCATTAACCTGCGGGGATGGAACTGGAGGATGATTCTGCTATTTTTGGAGAGCCACATACTGTGTGGTAACTGTCACACAGAGCTGTTTGTCAACCTACCATTGCCCCTGCTCTGTGGTGGGAGTGAAAAGTCCAACGCACAACAACAGCGGCCTGCAGCAGGACCCTCCCCATTCACTGCTGCTGCGTTTCCTTTCCACGGGCAGAAGCTGAGACTCAGGGACGTTAAGCAGTTTGCCCAACATCACACAGTGAACAGGGATTTGAACCCAGCTAACCAGCCACAGAGCCCATCCCAGGGCTCACCCCTCTGTGAGCCTGAAAGCCTTTCAAAGAGAGGCCATTATTAAGTGCCGGAGGAGCTCAGAGGGGATGGAAACAGTCAGGGGCAACGTCAGAGAGCCGGGAGACAGTTTAGGGACCCACACCAATCCTCTAGGCCCAGGAGTGAGAACTGTTTCCCAGGGTAAGGCGCGCACACGGGAGGCCACAGGAGGCAGAGGCTGGGCCTATTGGGCTGCCTCCCCGGCTTCCTCGCCTTCTTCCAGGTTGAGGCCGAGAATCCAGCAGATGCTGCTCTCGGCCGCCCCCACCCCCATATCCCGGACGCGCTCCTCAGCGATGCTGGCACCAGGATGGCACCGCCACCATGCCAGGCTCCCCATCAGCTTTCTCCCCCCTCCAAGCCCCGCTCCCCCACCAGGCCGTTTCTCTTCCTCGCCAGCTGAGAGCGTGTGTGTTTAGAGCTCGGAATGGGCCATTTCGGCTCCGAGTCCAGATGCATTTTTATATCCGCCTGGAAAAAGCGCAGAGGCTCTGCTGGCTGCCAGGAGGGTTTTAAAATTAAAGTTAAAAAAAAGGGAAGACGCAGTTCCCCGCACCTGGCCCTCTTCAGAACCGCACGATCCTTCCGTTGGCCACTTGTGCTCAGGGCTACGTTCTGCCCCTCCCATCCCTCCCTCTCCCGGGTGGGCACTGGGTATCCTGGGTGAGTTCTGCCCTCAGCCCCTTCACAGAGGTGACCAGGTAACCAGGGCAGGGCAAGGTCCGGTGGTGTCACCACTTGCTTCCTGGGACTGTGGGACGAGGTTCCTGCCCCAGGCAGCTCCACCAACCTCAGGGCACCCTCTGTGGGCCCCAGAGGCTGTGCGTCCACAGTGGAGGTCAGCAGGGCCGGTCCTTGGAGGACCTCCGCGACATCCACAGTGCCTGGCGTCCTCGGCTTGTGGCCTCGTCACTCAGTCTGCCTCCATGCAGCGGACCCCTGGTGGCATAGCTCCTGCCTGATGAGCACCCACCCTCCTCCACTGTCCCCTCACCGGGCTGCCTCCTCCTAGTTCAGTCACCTGAGCCCTGGGGTGGCCCCGACACAGGTCAACTGTCCAGACTCCTCGTGGGTGAGAGCCAAGGCCTTCCCGGCTTCCAGGCGTCTCGGCTCAGGGGAGCAGGAGGGACAGAACCCGCTCCTCGTCGGGTCCCAGGGCTGCTGTCCAGGACCCAGTGCAGAGCACTGGCCCCTCTCACTCTCCAACCCTGTCGGGGACACCTGGGCCTGGGCCTCTTCAAACCCAGCACCTCCCTTATCTCTGCTGAGAAAAGGGTGAGGTGACATCAGGGGCACAGAGAACTGGCCCTGGGACCACCCCTGTGAGCCCCACCCTGTCCTGGGACTGTTCACGTCACCTCTTCTGTCTCCCCCGAGCCCCGCACTGGCTCACACTGATGATCCCATCCAGAGACAGGGATTCGATCGCCCGGAGCATGAAGCTGTGGCTCACGCCTGCAGTCCCAGCAGCTCTGGAGGCTGAGGCAGGAGAATCACAAGTTCACAGCCAGCCTCACAATTTAGCGAGGCCCTGAGCAACTTAATGAGACCCTGTCTCACAATAAAAAGTCAACAGGGCCGAGGCTCAGTGGTGAAGCACCCCTAGGTTCAGTTCCCAGGACCCAAAAAGCAGAAACCCTATAGGAAGCCTTCCTGACACGGTCTTGCATGTAAAGACAGGGAACTAGGCCGAGTGTGGAGGTCCGAACAGCAAGGAGGGAGAGGAGGAGCGTGTGCCAGGCCCCCAGCTGCAGGGCCAGGGCTGGGCATGGGCAGCGGAAGGGCAGGGGACTCACAAGGAGTCAGCAGAAACCACAGGGGACTTACTGAAGAACAATGTGGAAGACAGGGCCACTGGGGCCAGCAAAGAAGAGTGGCACCAAGTGACACAAGGCTGCACAGTTGTCATGCGGGGGGAAGATGGAGCTGGGCTTCATGTGGCTGATGGGCGGGGGGCAGGGAGCCTGCTAATGGAGCACCTTATGCGTAGGGTGCGTAACACAGGAGCGAGGCCCTAGCCAGGCGGCCCACGCAGGCTGTGATGGTGCTCCCGCCCTCGCAGTGTCCCTGTAAACGACGACTCATGGACAGACCGGCCCCAAGCTCTGCATCATCAGGCCTCAGTCTCAAGCACTGCCTTGTCTCTTGTCCCTTGCAGAGAGCCTTCAATGCCCTGTGTCACAGCACCCACTTGTACGGCCGAAGGCTGGTCCTGGAGTGGGCAGACTCCGAGGTGACCCTGCAGGCCCTGCGACGGAAGACGGCCGAGCACTTCCACGGTAGGAGGGCGTGGGGCCTGGGCCTCAACTGGGGCTTCCTGGAAGGCAGGAGGGGCTGGGCCCCAAGAGAACGACCAAGGCCCCCCGCACCCAGTGCCGGGCAGCACCCTCCTGTCTTCGTGGCAGGAGGCTGGCCCCTGGAGGCCTCCCTTTTCTTTCGGGTGCCTTCGCTTTGGGGCCAGGTGACAGAGGACAGGTGCCAGCTCTCTTTCCCCTTCTGGTCTGTTGAATGGGTCATCTGGCAGGGAGTACAGACTCTCTCCTGTCTGCCTGGGGAGCCAGGCTCCAGGATGGGGCCAGGACAGTCCCTCCTGTGGCCGACCATGGTGCTGAGGTGCCTGCAGTCTTCCTCCTTGTTCTGGGGCACGTGCCTTCCTGTGTCTCTGCCTGTCGTTCAGGCCCATCCTGGGGGGCAGCTGAGGGCCAAGGGGACCTGGAACCAGGAGCAGTTGTTTGCTGCTGGCCAGGGAAGCTGGGGCTGGAGAGCAGGGCCTCTGACAGCCCGCTGGACCCCAGAACGTCCTCGGAACCCAGCGGCAGCCGGAGGCCTCGGGTGTGGCCCACCTGCCAGGCCTACAGAGGCCGCCCTGCCCGACCCTGGCTGCCCTGCTCCACTGCTCCGCTACACTGTTTCCCAGACCGGGCAGGGCCTGACTGTGCCGCTCTGTCCTCTGTACCGTGGTGTCTTGCCCCTTGGTCCCTCTTTATCCTGGACGCCTGCCCTCCCCGTCCCTCTTGTCTCTTGCCCTGTTGTGGTGGCCTCTGTGGTTCATTGTCCTCACGGAACCCACACCTCCCGTGTGGGGCTGTTGTGCCCATCTTTGTGGGTCTTGGGTTCCCCTCTGGGTCACTGATGCAGGCCAGGCCCTCGCCAAGGCTGGGGACATTTGAGCCAGGGCGAATGTGAAACCAGAGACAGAGGCCAGCACATAACCTCGATCTCAGTAAGTCCCCAAGTCCTGACGTGCAGAAAAGGAACGCGTCCCTATCGACAGGCATTGACAGGCCCGAATGCACCGTTGGCAAATGTTTGTGTAAGGGACTGTCCCTCCCCTGCCCCCACTACT